ACTTTTTTAAAAAGAATTCTTTAGTAATAACGGTTATTTATTATATTATAAAAAAGAAATTATGAATATTTTTAGTAGTATAGTAAGATTTTAAAGCGCCCTCAAATCCCTATTTTAAAACTTTAATAAAAAGTAATAAACTAAAAAAAACTTAGTTAACTTTTAATAAACTAAGTTTATTTCGTACTATACTACTAAGTTTAAAAAACTTATAATACGACTCGATTTTATTAAGGAAACTTATATTTTTTTATTTTACTAAGGACTAGAAGATAAAATTAAGGACGAACTTAGTAAAATAGAAATACTAATAAAATTCTTATAGTACGTTAAGCTTGTTATTAAGATCGATATTTAATTATATAAATAATATAAAAAAAAAAAAAAAGTATAACGCCCTTAAGCTAATTCTAATAGAAAATATTAAAACTATAGTAAACTACTAAGTAATTATTAAAATAACTTAAGAAATTAATAATAATAAAGTACGTTTTATAGATAATACGGAGGACTTATAGACCTTAGTATTACTAAATATAAAAAACCGTAATAAAAAAAGGATTTTAAATATTATAATTATAATAAGCTAGGATATATAGTTAAAGACTATTAATAACTTAAGTATATTTAATACTAACTTATTTTAAAAAAACGAGCTAATATTATAAATAAAGAAGTCCTTTATAAATAACTCTTATAAATAGCTTATTATAATAATAATTATTTGACTTATTAAAATAATAAAAAATAAATAAAATAGTACTTAAAGCGATTTAAAAATAAGGGATGATCTAGATATAATACTATATTATTTATTAAGACCTTAGTAATAGTAGTAAAAAAAGAAAAAATACTTACTTATTAGCCCTATATTTTTAAAAAAAAAAATATTAAATATATTATAATACTTTTTTAAATTTATAAAAATATAAAAGAAAAAGCTAAGATAAACCCCGTTATAAAAAATATATTTTACTTTTTTAAAAAACGAATTAAGTAAAAACTCTTAGCTAGTATAAAGGAATAACTCTTTAAATTTAAAAAAAGAGGACCTAATATAAAAAAAATTATAAATAACTTTATTTATATAATATAACGAAACTATATAAACTAAAAATAACTTATTAAATCTAAAAAAGGACTCGATTTAAATAATATTCTAACTAAATCTATTTATATAATACAATAAGTAGATATTAATAAGAAATTTATTTATAAAGTTAAAAAATAGCTTAAGGACCTCTTATATAAAAATAAGATTAAAATAATTAAGAAACTAACTCTTAACTTCGGAATTATAAAAAAAAAAATTAATTTTAATTTTAAAAAGGAAGATATTAAAATAAGAACTAGTTTTTTTTATTTTAATAAAATAGAATTATTTTATAATTCGGACGAACCTCGTAATATTACTTAATAACGTACTTAAATAAAAATTAATTATAAAGTACTACTTAGTATTAATAATATTAGCTCTAAAAAGAATAATAACGAACTATAATATAAATATATTTATTTATTTAAGGATAATTAAACTATTTAGTTTTATAAAACTAAAGAACGTAAAAAAGTTATAATAACCCCCTATATAGATAAAGATTACTCTTTACTTAACCCTAAAGACCCCTTTTATAAGGAATTATTTTAAGTAGAGTACTTAAATAATAAATACTTTTAGTACCTCGTATATAAATAAAATAGTTATTTCTATTTATAAAAACGTAATAATAAGCTTATTAAGGATATTTATATAAAAGACTAGCTACTTAGTTAAATATTACTAGGCTTCGATAATAGTAATAAAATAATATTTAGCCTAAACCCTAGCTTTTTTATAAAGTGCTTTAATAATAAGTATATAAAATAAGAAGATTATAAATATAATTAATACTAAATTTATTATATTAAAAAGGCTAAGGTATAAAAGGAACGCTAAGAGAGATATAAATAAAAGAACTATCTAAAGAAATAAATAATAAAAAATTAAAAAAGCTAATTATAAAAAAATAATAAAAAGTAAAAATAAAAAAAAAGTTCTTATATATAATTAGATAACGTAATAATATATAATTATAAGTTAACTTTAATATTTATAAATAAAAACTAAACGCTATTATTAATAGCGGCGTATAAAAAACTTATATTTTACTAAGAATAATAAATAAACTTAACTTATTATAAATATAAAAAAATAATTTATATTAACTATAAATAGTAAAAAGAGAACGAGTTAATTATAATTATAAATATATTAATTAAGAAACTATATACCTCTTAATATATATTAATAACTAGCTAAAATAACTATAGTATAATATTATAAAAATTAAAAATATTAACGTTATCTTAAGAATCTTATAATTATAAAAGCATAACTTATAAATAAATTAGATTATTAGCTAGGTCTTTTAAGAAAATCTAGTTACTAAACGACCTAAAAAAAAAAAGGGTTTAAACGGATTTTTAATAACTCTTAAAAAATAAAAATAAATATAATATATAGCTTTTATTAAAATAATAAAAAACTCTAGGAAGTTCGTATATAGTACTAATAATTAAGGATCGTAATAACTCTAAACTATATTTAAAAAGTATTAAATATATATAAAACTATTTATAGAACCTAAAAAAATAGGATTATTAGAATATAGTAACTAAAATATAAAAATTAAACTTAAAAAAGGAGTATAACCTAGGTTCTATTTAATATACTTAATAAATTAAAAAGAATAAAAATACTTTAACGAATATATTAATAAGAAGCTTAAAAAAGGATATATTTAACTATCAAATTCTTTTATAAAATTCCCTTTATTTTTTATACTAAAAAAGGATAGAAAATTAAGACTTATTATTAATTATAAAAAACTTAACGAAATTATAAAAAAGAATTATTATTTTTTATTACTTATTACTAAGCTTAAAGATCTATTTTACGGAACTAACTAATTTATTATTATAAATCTTAAGAAAGTATTTAATTAGATTTAAATTAAAAAAAGAGATAAGTAAAAAACGGTATTCTAAACTTATAAAGGACTTTTTAAGTACCTTATTATACCCTTTAGACTTATTAATACTTTAGTAATTTTTTAAATAATAGTTAACTACGTACTCTAGGAGTACGTCGATATTTTTATTATTATTTATATTAATAATATTTTTATCTTCTCCCCTAACTTTAAAATATATAAAAAATATATTTATATAATATTTTAAAAACTCTAAAATACTAAACTATATATTAAACTCTCTAAGTATAAGTTCTATATATAAAAAATAAACTTCCTTAGATATATTATTATACTAAAATAAATCTATATATAAGTATTAAAAATAAAAGTAGTTAGGGACTAGCTTATATTATAAAACGTTAAGGATATATAAGGATTCTTAGGATTTATTAACTTTTATTAATAATTCTTTAAGAACTATATTAATATAGTTAGACTTTTTAATAATTTAATATAAAAAGATAACTTATTTATTTAGAACTTTAAATACGAAAAAGTATTTATTAAAGTTAAAAATATAGTCGTTTCTAAACTAATTATTATAATCCCAGACCCCTAAAAACCTTTTAAAATCGAGATTAAAATACCTTAGACTTTACTATAGGAGTAGTTTTAAAATAATAAGATAAATAAAAAAAGCTTTATTTATATTATTTTTATTTTAAAGTATTTTATAAAATAGAATTAAATTAATAAATCTATAATAAGGAATTAATAGTAATTATTAAAGTATTTTAAGAATAGAGACTATAGTTATTTAGAACTAAGTACGAAATTATAATCTATATAGATTATAAGAACCTTATAAACTTTATAATAAATAAAAATTTAAATAAATAATAAGTTAAATAAAGTAAATTCCTATTTAAATATAATTTCTAAATTATTTATTAAAAAGGTTTAGAAAATAGTAAAGTAGACGCTCTTAGTAAAAGACTTAATTACGAGGTTATAGTCCCCGAAAAAATATAAATTATTCTTAAGTAAAAAAAAAATAGTAGCTTTATACTAATTACGAAGCTCTTTATAATAACTAAAAAGATTAATACTAGCTTAATTAAAAAAATAACTCCTAAACTTATTATAAAAATTTATAGTATATTAGTATACGGCTATTAAGGAGTTATTAAAACGTAAAAACGGATTTATTAGTATTATAATAAATCCGCTATACGTACTAAAATTATAAAAGTAATTAAAAACTATGTAACTTATAAAAAAAGTAAGAATAGCTTATATAAGCCTTATAACGAACTATAACTATTATAATTACTAATAGAAGTATAATAATTAATTATATAGGACTTTATTATTAAATTACTAAAGTCTAGAGAACTATTTATTAAAATATAGTACGATAGTATTTTAGTTATAGTTAATTAACTTACTAAGTTTATATATTTTATTTTTTATAAAAAATTAAGTACTATAAAAGACTTAGTATATATATTTACTAAGGTTATACTCTTAAACTATGGTTTATTAAAAAAAATTATTTCTAATAGAAATAAGCTATTTATTTTAAAATTTTAAAAATCTTTAATTTCGTAACTTAGTATAGACTATAAACTATTAATATTATTTTATTTATAAACTAATAAATAAATAAAAAGGATTAACTAGATCTTTAAAATATACCTCTATTATTATATAAACTATAACTAAGATAATTAAATAGTACTTTTATTAATAGCTTAGTTCGTATATAATAATATAGTTAATAAAAGTATAAGAGAATCTTCGTTTTATTTTAATTACGGATTCTAGTTAATTATATATAAAGAAGTATAATAAGGATTATAAGCTATAAAAGCTATAATAGACGTAAATAAACTTAAAGAGATTTATAAATAAGCTTTATTAAATTTTAAATTTATATAATAATATATAAAAAAAAATATAAATAAATTAAGGATTAGAGGACTATTTTTAAAAAAAGGGAATAGTACTTATCTCCTTTATTATAATATTAAAACGAAATAACTAAGTAATAAATTAAATTATAAAAAACTTAGACCTTTCGAAATTATTAAAAAAGTCTTACTAATTAATTACGAACTAAGATTACTAAATATAATACGATACTATCCTATTTTCTATATTTTATTACTTAAACTTATATTAAAAAGCTTATATATAAAAGATTATATTATTATTAAACTAAATTAATTAGAATACGAAGTTAAACGAATTATTAATTATAGAATTAGGAATAGAATATAAGAATTCTTTATTAAATAGAAGGGCTATAAATATAAAAAAAATATATAAGAACTTATTACGAACTTTTAGAACTCTTAGGAATTTTTTTAGAATATTAAAGTTAAAATTAAAATTAAAACTCTTAGTTATTATAACGTCCTAGTCGATTACTTTAAAAATATTATTAAATTATGCTTCTTGCGCAGTAGCTAACTTATTTTTATTAATAATATTAGGAGGATTAGGGATCATTTTTCCCTTTTTAAATACTATTCTTTTTTTTTTAAGGTAATTTAATTTTAATAAGGACTTATTTATTTTAATTTATGCGTAGTATAAGGCCTTTGCTTATTTTTAAAAAAGAAGCTCTTTTACCTCTTTTTTATACTCTAGTTTATTAGCTTTAAATAGAAAACGATTTATTATAAGCACGATTAGTATAAAAAATATTAATAAAAAAAAGAAAAAACTTATAATTATATATAGTATTAGTAGTTGTGTTGTAAGAACGATTATAATATATATATTTATAATATTTTAATTTACTCTTTAGTATTTTATATTTTTACCTTAATAAGTAATAAAATAAGTAAAGTATTATAATTTTAAATCCTTACTCTTTAATTTTAAGAATAAGCTTTAAATAATAATATATTAAAAATCTAGTAGATATTTTAGTATTTTTAAAAAAACTATTTAATAAGCCCTAACCTAGGCTATAACGACTTATTTATAGGTTTATAAAAATAAGACTTTTAAAAGAGAGACTTAATATTACGACTTAATATATATAACTAAGACTAGGGCCCGCCCCGTAGGCTTATAGTAGTTATAATATATTATATATATAAAAGTATAGGAATATAAGATAACTTTTATAAAATAAAAGAACTATAAATAAGTTATATATAAATAAAAAACGGTAATTACATAATAAAGTAATTATTATAATTATTTTAAGTAAGTATTTATTAATATTTACTAAGTAATTACTTAATAAATAAGAGTAATTATTAATAAAGGATATATTTATAATTAGACTTATATATAGGATAGACCTAAGCTAGGCTTAAGGATAGATTTCTATAGCTTCTTTAGTAATTAACTTAATATTAGATCTTATAATTACTTTTAGCTATTTTTATTAAGAACCTTTTTAATAAGACTATAATTAATTACTAAAGCTTTACTTATTTTATAATTTATAAATATAGCTTTAGGGAAGCTATTTATAACTACGATACTGTTTACTTAGTACTCGTAGCTTTAACTTTTATTAATATACTTACTATGACTAGCTAGCCGTAATATCTAACTACTAGCCCTTAAAATATCCTTATAAGTTAACGAGTTAGTATTTTAATATTCCGAATATTCTTAAATAAGTAAATAGTTTAATAATAATAATAATAATAATAATAATAATAATAATAATAATAATAATAATAATAATAATAATAATAATAATAATAATAATAATAATAATAGTAATAATAATAATAATAATAATAGTAATAACGTAATAATAATAAATAATAAGGGAAGCGTTTTTTAATTTTAAAAAAAGAAACGAGGTAATGTATATAAGTTAGAATTGAAAGTATTAGGGTAGATATTATAAGGTTAATATTATTTAATAATAGTAACGAGGGTATTTCCGATACTATTATTATAGACTACTATACTTTAAAAAGTAACTAACTTAGCTAGGTACGCGGGCTTATAAAGTAGTAGTACCTAATATTATTATTAATAATATACCTAGCCGTAGTTATAAACTTTATAAAAAGGAAAGTTAAAAAGGTAGAAAATCTAAAAAAAAGAAAATTAGTTTATTAAGATAGTAAGAGTATTTATTAATATTACATATTAATACTATATAAATAATATTAAGAACTACCCGAGTAGCTAGTAAAAGTAGAATATTAAAAAAAAATAGTTATAAACTTTATAAGAAGGAAAGTTAAAAAGTTAGAAATTCTTTTAAAAAAAAAGTTTATTAAGATAATAAGAGTATTTATTAATCCTATATACTAATACTATATAATTAATTTAAAAACTGCCCGAGTAATTAGTAAAAGTATAATATAAAATTAAATAACCCTTTGGGGTCCGGTCTGCCTTATTAGGGGCTATCTTCGCTTTTATAAATAAGCTAGTCTATTAGGGTTAATATTAAGTTTCTATTACGTACTTGAATAAGACTTTATATTAACTAATAATAACTAGCTATAGCTAATATAGCCGTTATTAATTATTAATACTTACTAAACTTAAAATATTAATTAACCCCGCTATTATAATATATTAATCGCTCTTTAAATAGCTAAAAACTACCCCTTATTTTCCGCCTTATTTAATAACTTTAAAATATCCTTTTTAATCCTTTTTATTCTATTCTTATATTACGTTTTCAAAATATTAATAATATTTTAAAATTAATTAGGTATTTAGAAACTATTATATTATATAAACTAGGTACTAATTAAGAAAATAGCTATATTAATATACTTATTTTTAACTTTTAAGTTAATAATATTTAATCCGAATTTTTCAAACGATCGTATTATAGTTCGGGGTCTTTTAATATAATATTTATATAGTAGTTTTTTTCCGGCTTTATAGGCATAAAGAATTAACCTTAACGGGATTATACTTTTAAAAGAAATAATATAATATAATATACTTTTTAACTATATAATATATATAATATACCCTAAGTACGTACTTAATATAATATAATAATTTCGATATAAAAATTATTATATAATTCGGAATAAGGAAGCTACCCTCTTCGCTCACGTAGCGGCGCTAGCTAGAAAGGTTAATAATAAAGGTTAGCTATAAAAGTTAGAAATAGCCTTCCTTAACTACAGAGGTTCTAAACTTAAATAATAATATAGAGGTTTTTTAAAAAAGGGCTAAAAAGGCTAATATTTAACTACTCTTTATACTAAAGCTTATAAAGATTTTTTCTATTTTTATTATTTTTAATATTACTTAAAGCTCTATTTAAACTAAATAAATTTACTAAATAAACCTATTAAATAAACTTATTGATATATAAACTACTACCTTATTAATAACTTACTTTACTAAAAATGCCCCTTAATAAGTCCCCCCCTCTAGGGCTTAATAAATTAGGCCCCCTCGGTACCCTAGCTATTATAGCTAATATAAGTATACTTAAGGAGTAGTATAATACTTTTTAATAATACGGAATTTAGCTAGGTAATAGTACGAACGTTATAAATAGCCGGGCTAATATAAATATTAAAATTTAATATATTAATACTAATTTAGAAAGGGAATTAATATACTAGTATTGCAAATTAATATACTAGCGTCGCTCTTATACCGGCGTTACTATTTTACTTTTTAATTAGTTTAGAAAAAATTATTAATATAATTAGATTTTATTAAATATTTATAAAGTATCCTAAGCTTTTATTCTTTTATTCCCTTTATACTTAGGTTATATTATTAAGCCTCGAAATCTAATTTATAGTATTTATTTATAATAGTTTTTGTAATTAGAGTTAAAGACGTTCCTTAAGGATAATCTTAAAATAATACCCTTATTAAAAGACTTCCCTTTTTATAAAAACGACTATTAATTAATTACGGCCTCTTATTATTATTTAGCTAATTATTATTATTTCTTTTTTTTAAAAATAGTTACCTTAGCGTTAGCTAATTTTATAAAATTAATAATTTTAAAAAGTAATACGATCTTATTACTAAGCTCTTAGTTAATATATTATAAAATACGTAACTTTTTATAAATAATTATTTTAATATAAAGCTTATATTATATTTTACTTATTATTTTTTTAAGAGAATAATAAAAACCTAGTAAACTACTTTTTTATAACTTTTTTTAAAATATAACCCCTCTCCCCCTAATAAATAATCCTAATAACTTTTTTATTTTATAATAAAATAGTTTAGTAATACTTTTTAATTTATTAAATAAGTTATTAAAAATAATTAATAACTAATAATAATACTACTTTAATAATAAAAATATATTTATTAATAATAGTAAATATAAGGTCCCTAAGTTAACTTATTACCCTATTTATTATTATAGCTATTTTTTATTTAAAATAAAGCGTTTTTTTAAACTATAGCTTTTTATTATACTCTAAATAACCGATCTTCTTCTCTTTTTATAATTAAAATCCTAAACTTACTAATTCTTAGTAATTTAAAATAAACTTATAATACCCTCTTTAATTAAGTTAATAACTTTATAAAAGTTAATAAATTTAGTATTATAAAATAAAATAAGTATAAAGCTCGAGGCTAAATTATTTAATATACTTTTTAATATAATTAGTTTAATAAGCTTAGGCTTATATATAGTGGTTTTTTTTTTCTAGCTTTATAAATATAAAAGATCGACCTTAACAGGATTATACTTTTAAAGGAAATTATACGATATAATATACTTTTTAACTATATAATACGCGTAATATATTTTAAGTACGCACTTAACGTAATATAATAATTTTAATATAAAAACTACTATTTAATTTAAAATAGGTAAGCTACTTTTTATATAGTAGCGCTAGCTAAAAAGGTTAATAATAAAGGTTAGCTATAATAATTAACTATAATAGTTAGCTATAATAGTTAGTTATAATACTTAGAGGCGGCCCTTAATTATAAAGGTTCTAAACTTTAATAGTAACGTAGAGGTTTCTAAAGAAAGGGCTAAATAGGCTAATATTTACTACTTATACTAAAGCTTATAAAAATTCTTTTTATTTTTATTACTTTTGATATTACTTAAAACTACTTTCTATTTAAACTAAATAAATTTATTAAATAAATTTACTAAATAAATTTATTAAATAAATTTACTAAATAAATTTATTAAATAAATTTATTAAATAAACTTATTAATATATAAACTACTACTTTATTCTTAGTATATAGTTAGTAATTAGTAGGCTAAAACT